TATATATTTATATATTTATATATTTATATATTTATATATTTATATATTTATATATTTATATATTTATATATTTATATATTTATATATTTATATATTTATATATTTATATATTTATATATTTATATATTTATATATTTATATATTTATATATTTATATATTTATATATTTATATATTTATATATTTATATATGTATATTTATATATTTATCTATTTTTATATATATATTTATATATTTATATATTTATATATTTAATATTGAAAAATATAGTAAAAATTCTTGATTTAAAGTTTTTATAATAGATTATGATATTTTTAGTGAATTTAAATTAAAAAAATAAAAGGTAGATATAATTTTAGTTATATTATTTTTATTTTTATATTTTAATTTAAATTTAGAAGAAAATTAGTTTTTTTACCCACCCGCAATCGCCCGCAAACGCAAACGCTAGCTGAAACCAGCTTTTGATTTTAAGAGGTTGGGAGCGGTTTGAAGCGATTTGTAGTGGTTCTTGTGATTGTTGCAAAACGCTAGCAACCGCCATCAACCGCAAAAGCTGCGTTTGCGGGTGGTAGCGGGGAAACCAGTCGGACCCTTAATATGAAACGGAGGGAGTATTAATTATGTATTGGAAAATCTTTTACTATTTTCAAACATGAATTAAATGTCTCATAAAGGCTCTTTAACGTTTGGTTTTGAGTATCAACGTAATTAAGAATTTGGACAATGTGATTCTCATTGATTCTATAGAATGCCACAAGAATAACATAGACATCTACATTAAAAGAAAAATCACATTCCTTCACACGATATTTTAGATATATTTTTTCTGAATTTGAGAATATCTCACAAAACTAGTTTTTGATGACTAGCTGTAATAATGGCATTGTTTTACACACGTGGATACCTCTCTTGCCTCTATGGTCTTTGTATTGGATGAAGGATTTGACTTGTATGTACACTAATTGCTGCAGAGCGTAACCAACAAAGGTTAATATCACTAGGTAACTAAAATGTTGCTTAATCATGTGGTTATTTAATCGTGATGGATAATCCATAACATTGCTAGATAGAAGTGTGATTTGTAAGGCGGCATTGTTAATTGTGGTGTTTGGTCTTAATTGTTTATGATGTTGTCAGGTGTGTAAAGATCACAGATGATGGATTACTTCATGTGCTACAGAAGTGTTCTACTCTCTAGACCTTAGACCTCTATGCTCTTTCAGGGCAATACAAGAAGCATAGTTCTATTTATCTCTGACTATATTGAAAATCTAGCTGTTGTAAATTTTGGAACTGATGTTGCAATATTTTCAGATTCACAGACAAAGTCTGCGTCTTCATTACAAATGCATCTTAAACATGACAGGTGTGTGCGTATCACAGATGCAGGTGTGATTACTATTGCTAATAGTTGTACGGCACCTCCCTCGAATTTCTCAGTAAATCAAATTCTAGAACTTTTTGCTTCATTTTTTTTGTTATGATTCATTTTGCTGACACCGTTCAATGAAAACAACAATTTGCAGCTTGTTTGGAATAGTTGGGGTGACTGATAAATGTCTGGAGATTCTCTCGCAGACCTGCTCTGCTACACTCACCACTCTTGATGTCAATGGCTGCATTGGTATTAAGGTGTGTACTATGCTGATTTACAATTTTTCTAATTTGTGGAGACTTGACACTTTTTCTTTACGTAATGTTAACTAAACATGATTAATTATGCAGAGACGAAGCTGTGAAGAGTTTCTTCAGATGTTCCCGTGTCTCACATGTTTCAAAGTACACAGCTAAGTTGCTAAACTCCAGAACTCTCAACAATATTTTGCCCAAAAGGCAAATGATTCTCGACTTCTGCAACGCTCAGCTATCATGCAAAAGCTTCAAGTTCGACCTTAATGAAAACGTTATTGCCAAAGATCTGAAGCTCTCCCCCTTGGTTAAGAACCCAAAGAAAGGTAAGTCTTACAACTCTCTGATCAACTCTTGGTTGAAGGTGGACAATCTAGATGCTCACTTTAATTTATCAACTCTCTGATCAATTCTTTTTTTTTCCAAAAAAGAATCATTCGAAGCCTCTAATCTGAAAGCAAGGTTGTCCAAAATGAGTACTTGTAGAAGAGACTTCGGTATGAACCCAAGAACCTGCATCACCTCTGTTATTTACTGAATAGTCATCAAGAGCCTTCAGCAATATATTCATCACTTCAGTTTTGGCAAGAATTGAAAAAAAAAGTCATTCCAGGCCAATAATTAGCAAGGTTTTCCAAGATTGAAGTGTGGTACCAACATACTATATGCAGTGTGGGAGATAGAGCATCTCAAGTTTTTACCTGTGTCGACACTCTAGAAAGAATCAAGAAGAACGAACTTGTCTCAATAGGGGATCTAAATATATTCATCTCTAACTCCAATCAGCAGGTTAGACAACCTGCTCAATGGAGTTGGAGATGTAGTTGTTGAGATCTTTTATTGAGACAAGTTCATTCAACTTGATTCCTTCTAGAGTGTCGACACATGTAAAAATTTGAGATGCTCCAGCTCCCACACTGCATATAGTATGTTGGTACACACTGCTGCAAAACCAAACAAACAAGTTCAAACGCGTCAAGAGACTGGAGACTCTGGAAGATTTGGCTCGTTAGAGGCGTAGGGCTTATGATATTTGGTGCTCCTAAACTCTAATTCATAGAAAAATGTTGTTAAGCTTGGACCTGATAAATCATGGAAGCGAAGGAAGAAGAGACATGGAGGAGAGAGATAGTAACAAGCGTGATGAGGACAGTAAGCACGAGATTGTCTCAGAAGGATCTGATCTCCCTCCTTCTCGTTAGTCCTTGGCTCTGTCACACCCTCGTCTCTTACCCTTCCATCTGGCTGGTAAAAACCAAAGTTCTGACTACTTCTCAGGTCTTTTCAAGCTTTCAATTTTTCACCATAGATACAATTCTTGATTGCGCTCTTTTCAGAACATTGATTTGCGTGAGAGGACCAATGCAGGGGATAGGCTTTTAGCTGCTCTGTACTTGGTTAGTTATAAGAACATAGATTCTTTGATACTTGATTATACTTGAATGTATCGGATTTATATCTTTCTTTGAAAGTGAGACTAACTGTGCTTTCAATTTTGCCGCCAAGATATCGTCAAGTGAAGCATATCAATTTTGAATTTTCACAGGGTATTGAGGACAGTCATCTTCAACTTGTGAAAAGCCAAATAACTACATGACTTTGATGTTTAATATTCATCTACTCGTATCTTTCGACCTGCTTTAGTTTCTCACAGTATTGTAAATTTGTAATGGGTGATGTATGAACATGTAGAGTTTAGGGTTTAGGGTTTAGGGTGTATCTTTCGACCTGAATGAATGCCAAAGATATCGGAGAATGGAATCGAAGCTATAACTAGCATATGTCCCAAGCTAAAAGTTATCTTTATTTACTGGAACGTTTAAGTAATATTAGGTCACACTTCTTGATTTTACCTCATTAAAGGTGCCTAATTCTAGGATTGTTACACAGGGTGACTGTGTAGCCCTGTGGTTATTTAATGGTGTGGTGGATAATCTATTATATTGTTGGATGTGTCATATTTGATGGAAGGTTGATTTGTAAGACTACATTGTTATTTGAGTAATTACGGTGATTGGTCTCGTGGTTTATGATGTCGCCAGGTATGTTGTGTTAAGATCACAGCTGATGGATTAGTTCAAGTGCTACAGAAATGTTCTACTCTCCAGACCTTAAACCTCTATGCTCTTTCAGTGTGATACAAGAAGCATAGTTCCTTTTTTTTTCTGGCTATATTGAAAATCTAGCTGTTTAAGTTCTGGAACTGGCCTTGCAGTTTTTGAAGATTCACAGACAAAGCCTACAAGAAGATATCACTTTTGGCTGTTCTAAATCTATGTGAAATTCGGGTAAAGCTGGTTGCATTGTTTTCTTTCTTTTCTAGAGGAGTTTATTTGAGATATTTGTATAATATAAATTATATAACTAAGGATTCCATTACTATAAATACTATAGGACATAGTGTATACATTAGTTATGAGTTTCTTGTCTTAGATATAATCTGTAACAAAGAGTGCAACTTTGGTTTTCAGAATTTATCTGATGAGGGGCTTGCTCATATAGCTAAGTGCATCAAGCTAGAGTTTCTGAACTTGACATGGTAAACTAAAGTCTCCACGTACGAAAATGATGATGATTATAAAGCCTGCGTCTTCATTGCAAATGATTTAATCCAAATGCCTCACAAACAATCGCAAGTGTTTTCAATATGTCTTATTAACAAGTCATGGTACATACACAACTGATAGATATGATTCACATAGCGGTTTTGGTTACATTTATTAAATTGCATAACAAAGGTTTACATTAAGTACCATACTGAGAAAGCTCCAGCCATCACTAGACCAAATTGCTTCTTATCTCTTCCTTTAACGCTTGAACCTGCGGATACAGCTGCAATATTTTTGTTTTGTTATTTTTTCTTCTAGTTCCAAGAAACGAATGAGTAATGTTTGCACAACTAGAATTCAAATTGTAAGGAGAATAATATTAGTAGTAGTACCTTTTGGTCCAACATTCTGAGAGGAATCGCTGAATTGCTTAAAAATCCGAGCGGCTACTGAATCTGGAGGCAGATGTAGAAGCTCTTCTTGCAAGAAAATAAAATAATGAGAAAGATCTAATATTGTGTTGATGAAAAGCTGTTGAATCATCTTTTATATGCTTCCAGAAAAAAAATATTGTAGAAGAGATTTTGGCATGAGATTTCTCACCTGGGCATTGTGAAATATTTGCAGGGACATGACAAGTGGAAGGTAAGCTCATTGCACGGTTGGCATCAACTTTGAACCCTAAACCAGGATCATCCCTGTCTTTGACAAGAGTGCAGAGACATCTCTTGGTCTGACCTTTGTCTATTTTTTCTTTGAGTGTGGTGCAACATGTTGAGTCTGGAGCTTTAGCTTTGTTAGTGACAAAAGGAAGACAAGAGTAGAGATCAGACATGGAATCTTGACACCCTTTTATGTCTTGATTCAAATCTGATCTCGCACCAAGAAACATTGTTGCTACTGTTATGCATAGAGCCAGAATTTGTTGATTTTGATGGTAAGCCATTATAAATAACCACCAGGTTATGCAACTATGAACTCTCTATATGGCTTTTTATAAACTTATCTACAGGCTTCTTTCCTGTTCACAGTCTTTAATTCTGCAAGAAACTTGTTTAAAATGTTTAAAAAATGTGTACTAGTTGATATGTATGTCTCATATGTGAAATGAAATTTGAGTTATGAATTTTTTGAAGTTATTGGAGGGCTACATAAAATATATAAAGGTTGTTCACAGTCCGTTTTCACAATCTCTGCAAGTTATCCACAAGGAAAGAGTCTAGAACACTGACATTAAGGGATTTGTGTGCAGAGTATTATGCTGGGAAAAAAAAATCTCAAGTTGAAGAATCTAAAATTTACATGTTCTCTCTTATCTCTCTATTATTTGGAGCATCGATATGTAAGTTATTTTGTAGCCACACGAGTGAGTCTTCACTTGTTCACTGTGAAAGAAAAATATTAACTCCTAGTCCACCATTGTTTTCACTAAGCCAAAGCATGTATAACTTAAGATCTAAAACCATACTTTTATTAAAAATGGGAGGATACATAAAAGCAACAGAGGTTTCTCTAAAACTGAGGATTCAAAATGAGAAGAACAAAAGGTTAGACAAAACAACACAAGAGGTCATCATAAAGAATGACCCAGCTTCAGAAAATGATCTGCCTTAGAATCAGAACCACTTCCGACCTTTGTGTCCTCTCTATGACATATTTTGGCAGAGGTTTTGTCTAAAGAGCTCTTGTCATAATCTGATTAAAAACAGGAAACAGACAAACAAACCTATCTGTAAGCGAATGGATAAAGGTGGTGAATAGCGGCTAGCGTCTGGCTCTAGGCATGCATCGAAACTCAGCTAAGAGTGCAATGTGATTAGAAGACCATTCAGGGGAAGGAAGAGCTGTATCCTTTCTCAATCCATCTTCATCCAGCAACTCCAATAAAGATTCCACCATCAAAGTATCCGCTGAAAACCATAAAAATAAAAAAACAAAACCTTCCAGCTTAGTTAACTTGTTATTTTACTGGTGTTGTCAAAGGTAGTTAAATGGTGAAAACCTGTATAAAATATATAGTCATGAGTGCCTATGAACTCCCTTGTACAATTGGTAAACAAAGGCTCGTTTGTATTAAGATCCATCCTCCTTCTGTGTTGTTCCAATCCAAGACCCATTACTGGTCTCACGAACGATGTGTAAGCGCTCACCTGAAAACAAAATTCTCTCATCAAAGTTCCATAAGAGAGGCAAAAAAGAAAAAGGATAAACCGAAGAAGAAGAAGAGAATGTTACCAAAGGTAACTGATGAGTCAGTTTAGTATGAGGACGCAAGATTCCAAGGGGATCAACCAATAGATCTGGATGCAGTGGATCAACCTTTCCCCTTACAAGAAGTGAATGAGCAGCACTGCAAATCAAAAATTCAGAGGTTAAGCTTTTCTACACCAAGGAGAGTACTGAATTGAATTTCAGGTAAGAAGAATAAACAAAACCTCCCGGGAAGCGTATTGAAGTCTCCACATACAAGCATAGGAATATCAGCACTAGCAGCTATTTTCTCTAGCCCCTTTAATAACGTATGAACCTAAACTCAAAAGAATAAAAAAAAAACATACACTGAGGTGAGACACTATTTCTCTTGAGTTCATTAAGATAGAGAGAGATGCACATACCTGCCAGAGCTTCACGTCCTTTAGTTCTTGTTGTACATTAACATGTGTGTTTGCCTACACTCCAACAAGTTACATCAACAAAAGGAGACGCTAAGAGCAATCTTCTTAACAAACAATTGAATGAGATGAAAGAAGGGAAACTCTACCACACAGATAAGCTGGCGCTTCCCAGAGGGATCAGTAGGTTGATTACCAAACTTTGCTTCAAGAACAACTATCAACGCAATGTTATCCTACAAACATAACAATCACCAGAATCAGTCATGTACAGACTAACTCACTAAAAATGTATAGCATGAGAAAACTACCTTCACAAGTCGGTTTAAAGCAGTTCTCTTCTGCGTAGGAGGGATTATAGCCTCAGTCAAAGACTGAGCAGCCTTATTGAATTCAACCTAGATTAACAACAGTCCCATGAATCAGTATTGAGGATACAAATAGATAACAGCGAGTTAATATATAGCATAGATACAAACATCATATTTCTTGACATGTGAAAATCTATCCCGTCTGAAAAACGTTGCACATCCGTCAATTGCACTTGTACTTCCGCTGAGAACCTACCAACGTGTAAGATAAGGTTAAGAGACTCCGACATAAAATCATCAAAGAAAGGAGTGTGTGCGGACTAATGACCCAACCTCATTAGTCTTCCTCTTGTAGAGAGCTTGATACCCATGTTTATCCAACTCAGGAGCGAAAATTTCATGGAAATGATCACTTTGTACCTGCCAGATAAGGGAATAAGAGTGAACACTTTTCGTTTATGACGCCTAAGTAGTGTCTGTACAATAAAACCAGTGTTCTAAAAATAGGTCTAGGCACGTATGTCTAGTAAAAAAAAATCGGACCTAAACAAAACGATTTTTCTAAAACAACTTCTTAAAAATATCAGTCTAGGCTCTAAGAAATCAATTTTGGCACCCACATAATCAATAATCCCATATAAAACGCCTAACTACAGCTTAGCAATTTCTTGTACATTCGCAAAAACATACCTCTTGTAGGCAAACAACATCAGCACGATAACCAACAATCTCCCGCAACAGATTCTGTCTTCTGTAAGGCCAAGAAAGAGCCCAAGGAGGACAGTAACTGTAAAGGTCACTACTTGCAGAAGTATCAGACAAAATATTATAAGAAAGAACAGTGAACGATCCTGCAGACTGAATCCGACCGTCTTGATCCAAATGACTCATCACATCAGCTCCATTAACAGGAATCAGCCTACGAGGGCTCGGAGAAGGAGCAGGAATCACACGTGAAGTCAAAATGGTACTAGGATGTCCCACAAACTGTTTAGTCTCCGCATTAGCCACAACACACTCGAACTTCAACACATAGCCAATGTCATCAGCTGTTGGCGTGTACGTTTTGCAACCACCGACTTCGATTAGAGTCTCTCCTCCGTTTTTCTGAGTGATGCTAGAAGGATAAAACGGTGTTGGACCGTTGTTGGCGAGAGTGAGATTTGACATTGAACCTGATAAGGTACTGGCGAGAACACCAGAGCCTGTGCTGTTGAACCGAGTTAACTCATCTTCCTCGTTTCCGTTCTCTGCAGCTGCTCGCTCGTGTAAAGTCTTGTGATGCTGCCACGCGTCTGTGAAGCATTTAGGAGAACAGTGGTAGCTTTTTGCAACTAGGGATCTACGCTTTGAGCAGAATACACATTGTAAAGTGGCTTGTTCCGTTGGATGAACACTGCAAATAGTTACTTTCTTATCGCTCTGTACACGATACCTACAAAAAGAAACCAAAAGAATGAAACTTTAAGACACGAACAGAAGTAAAACCATAGTACCTGTCTCTTCTTTACAATCCCAAGACCAATTAGCAATTCCTTTAACGACCCAAGTCATAAATCTCTGAACTTTAGATCAAAATTTTTAATTTTTTTGAGCAAATCTCTGAACTGTAGACCAAAGTTTCAAACTTTGAGTAAGAATGAAACTATAAGACTTTAATACAAGAGCAGAAGTAAAACCATAGTTCCTGTCTCTTTCTTACAATCCACAAACCAATTAGCAATTCCACTAACGACCCAAGTCATAAATCTCTGAACTTTACACCAAAGTCTCAAACTTTTTGAGCAAATCTCTAAACTTTAAATCAAAGTTTCAAACTTTAGTAAAACCCCACAAACAAAACCCACAATCCACGACCGAGAAAGATTCGAACTATTTACCATCTGTATCTCAAGAAGTAGCCATCGAGAGGAGCTGATTCAGGGACATCATCAGTGGCGGCGGTCTTGTCAGGGCGGCGAACAAGGACGTAAGGAGTTAATTCACAGCCAACGATAGGAATCTCGGAAGGGAGATGCACACGGATCACGCTTAGCATTGCTTTGGTCGAACACTATCGAAGCAGAGAATCGAAAGAAGAGGTTGAAAGGGAGATGAGATAGAGTAGTAGAGGGTAGGCTGATCCACCATTTACTTTTTTCACACCTAAAAAACCCGTCACGACCAAAACTCTCTCCCGAAACCCTAGATACAGTTTTTTTTTTCCTTTTGTCTCCTCTCAGAACTTTAGTTAACCCAACTTGGATGGATCTTTGAGAGAAGAGAAAAAAAGTTCTGGAATAAAGCAAATCTTTAATTTGTAGAATTGAGATGTGGATGGGTCTTTGAGAAAGTTTGAGGATCGATTCTTACGCTGGTTATGAAACCAAAAAAAAAATCAACGAAGGATTTCGTTTTTTTTTTTGTTAAGAGTGGGATCAATCGTGAAGTATAAAAAACACAAAAAGTATTAGCATTTAGACTTCGGAGTTCAGACCAAACAAAAAAATCATTTAATTGATTTAGATTTCTATTAAACAAACATTTAATTGATTTAGATTTTTTTAAAACGAGTTTCTCATTGAAAATGAACTAATTGTAAGAAAACAATAAGAGATATTTGCTAGGATAAACCTAAAATTTTTTTTTCCCACAATTAAAATTTAAAATGACCAAAATATACTTAAATATTTATCAAAAATAATTAAATATATACTTATACCATTTGAGTTAACTAATCATAGACTTTTTTGTTTAAAGTTGAATAGTGGAGTTTTGAGGACGTGATTTCAAATTTCTAAAAATTAAAAAACTATTTAAAATTTTCATAACTAAAAAATATATTTTTGGTCATTTTAATTTTTGAAATCTATTTTTATGATAAAAACTTTAAAAAATCTATTTGAGAGATTGCCCAAACAATAATCTACAGCTAAATCATTACTAATACTTTTAATCATTGTTGACACCTCATAGAAAGACCATTTAATTAATTATACAATATGGCATATGCAGTTATTTACATTAAACAATCAAATATATAA